CCTCAATAAATTTATAATCGCAATTTTGATCTCTAAATACCAATAAAAATAATCTCTTCAATATAAAAACAAATATGCTCAAATTATATATCACCCTAATAAACCCACAAAGTTATAAATTATATCAAAATTCGTCGGTTTTTGATTCTTCAAGTATCAACTATGGTCCTTCCCACCGAAATAATCCTGAAAAATATTAAAGGCAGGGAAGTATACAATATGACATGAAACAATATGCTAAACTAGAAAAGAATATGAATGGTCAAATATCAAATAATTCAATCAATAGACAATCATAGATACAAAAATCAAGAATCCAATTTGATAAGTCACATAGTTCGATTTCTATCAAACATAGCCTCATATTCGGGTCTTCTTGGTGATATGACAAATGACACTTAGGCATTTAAAATTCATACTCATATCGAACTATTACACCCCTCAGGGCTGTAATCAAAATCGCATCCCGTAGGACCATAATCACATTTCACCAATTATGCTTCTAATTACACTTCGTACATGTATCAATCAATCTCAAAGTGTTTAGCCCAATGTACAAGATAACATTGACAAAATTTCATATAAATTACAATAATCAATAAGAATACAAAATTTCAGATAATGAAAGGACATTTTTCAGAAAGAGGTTTAAAAGACAAGAGCATATTATATATTATCTCATACCTCAAATCCATCAATGACTTCAATAAATACGAAATTCGAAATATCGCGAATGACATAGTCAAATTTGATAGCGATTTAAAAGAAAATAACTGCTTAATTTTTGACCCTAAGATTTCATAAATTTTTCTTCTATTCCATTTCTCTCTCTCCTTCTTCCCCTTTCTCTCTCTTTCCTTTTTCTCTTTCTGTCGTGCCTGTTGCTTGGCTTGGACTTGACTATTTATAGCCAAGATTTACTTGGTCCCCAAGAATCCTATGGAGACTTGTCCATGTTCTCTTCCTCTTATTTTTTTCCCTCTCTCTTGCACGTTTTTCATTTGCTCACTTGTTGTCTAACACTTATACAACACATATATATTCATTCATCACATATATTCATTCATTATATATATATTCATTATCTTATTATGAAATTTGACCTAAATTATAATAATTTGACTTGTTTTCACATAAAGAGTCCATTTATTTATTTAATTTTTTTTTAAAAAATAACCTTTAATTGTATAAAATCATAATTGACGACCTAAATTAGCGTGTTAGTGATTATTTTATATACAGGTCGTCACAATTCATCTTCTCTATAATCATTTCAATCAATCACATACGATCGAATCGAATCCGGACCTTTAAATCACCGCAACAAATTGGATCGAAAAGAACTAAGAATATTATGCATTTGAATGAAACACAATAAGGTGTCATTCAAAACATCTTTGATCAACAAACATTTTATCACTCTGGTTTTGAAATATTAAAATTCAAACATCGAGACACGTGATTACATTTTGGGATGAAAACAAATTACTATGCTTATGAATTGTCGAAAAACAGAAAAGAGTTTGTTGCTTGTCTTGAAGAAGTTTATACATTTTCCTTTCCATTAACTATCGGTTACAGGATAGCTAAAGATCCAATTTTCTCAAAAATACACTTTCTGCACCAATCCCATTGGTTGTTCCAACCAGACTAAATGACTATAATATTTATGAATTGCTAATGCTCAATTTTGTTGCACATAACTCCAACTGGTGAAAATTAAAAAAAAATAATAATGAATTACTTTAGAGGAATTTTCTGGGACATGGAAGTTTTGATGCACAACATAATAGACTTATTCAGTTACTTGAGCAATAAAAGACCCAATCAAACACAAATACCCCAGTGAGACACTAAGGACACAACCAATCATTTGAATTCCAAAACAAAAAGAAGTTAAAATTCATGATGGTATTCAAACTTCAAGTATAATTGTACATGCAGATTAACAAAGTAGCAGCTTGAAAACAAAGAATTGGATATAGTTTGATTATCTTTTCCTTCACCATAATTGGATCTCAGCTTAAAGTAACAACAAAGGAATTCAATGGGTGAGAAAATAACATTCATGAAAAGAATGGAGAGGATATATGAAGGTTAATATTGAATTCAAGTTTGAGGCCAGTCCTTGACCTGTGGTGAATGGCCGGCTCGATATACCAGAAAGAAAATAAAGCATATCGGTTCAACATGTCATACAATTACTAAAAGTCTAATTACCAAGGATGAACATGTTCAAAAATTGTCTGAGAAAAGGTCCCAGTTGTCACTGAACCACAAAAAACATCCTTAAAATTGTGCTCAACTAATATCTTTATGACCATTGACCTTCTGGAATAAAATGAGCAAAACGTAACACTTGGTCAGATTGTGGCAGCAAATGAGCAACCAGACGCATTATCATGAAGTGTTTAGAAAATTTACTACTGGGGTTGACAATATTGAGAGGAAACAACCGACAAATACACGATTTGCCAACGTTGCTCCGTATAATCATGACAATTAGTAAATTGTGAAACTAACCAATATTTTCAGATCAAGAAATTCAATTAACACACTGGTCAAAATATAAAAACTAATTCGTAGAATTAGACCGCAACAGTTGTGCCGCACGAGAACATAAGAATGATTGCTAGAAGCAAAACAAGAATAGGACCAAGTACTTTTAGATGTATTAGTAACACAATAGGAAATTTTTTTAAAAAATTTATGTACAAGGCAACATTTAAGTAATTGGTCAATGAAAAAATCAAGCAAATAGAAGGATTTAACCTCCCGAGTCACTCAAGCTACAGTGGCCAGTCGTTAAGATCGAGGTAGTAGTCAGCGTAAGCCTACATACCCTGTAACCAAAAAAAACCTCCCGAGTCACAACATATAATTACTTACAAAATACTATATTTTCAATCGCTAGTAAACATGCATCAATAAGAAACAATTTGTATGGATTTTAATATTTTTCAGTAACTTTAGAACGGCGGATATAGAACCTATTTTTCATTAAGTTTTGTATCAACCAAATGGTGATAATATCTTTGTGTGCTTGATTCATACATAGGATGGTGAAATTACTTTTTTCTTATGTGGAAGCAACTTTTTTGAATGAGTTTGCTTACCATCTGTGTATGGACTGATGATGACTTCAACTACTTTGCATTGTGTAAGCAAGACCAACTTTGGCACTGCAATGGAATGATACACTTTTTTTTTTCCTAAAACTTCTCAACATTCAAAGGCAAAGGATAACCAATATTGTCTGTAACAGGTCTCTAAACAAGCACACCACATCCACTTCCAATGGAAATGCCCTGCAATAAAGAATTATTATATCCTCTTCATTTCACAATTAATGTAATAAGCAACAGATCTAAACAAAAGCTACCTATGCAATGTTTGAAAATCTAATGACAATTAGATTAAGCTTTTGGTGACTCCTAATCTAACTGCACTTTATTTGGTGTAGACGAGTTCCCGTCACTCATAACTTCTGAGTGAATGATGAGATTCTCAACCAAATACACTAAGACGGCAAAGAAAGAGAGGTGTTTGTTATGGGAGACTAGGAGTCCTAATGCATTAGGGCTAACATAAATTTCGTGTTTAGTTAATTTGTATTAATTTCAATTTAATATTGAAGGAAACTTAAAGAGTAGAAGCCTGTTAAGTTGTCTGAGATTTGAAATGATAGGATATGTTTGAAATTAGTTATTTAACTAAGGTTATTTTAGTCAATCAAATTTNCCTCTTCATTTCACAATTAATGTAATAAGCAACAGATCTAAACAAAAGCTACCTATACAATGTTTGAAAATCTAATGACAATTAGATTAAGCTTTTGGTGACTCCTAATCTAACTGCACTTTATTTGGTGTAGACGAGTTCCCGTCACTCATAACTTCTGAGTGAATGATGAGATTCTCAACCAAATACACTAAGACGGCAAAGAAAGAGAGGTGTTTGTTATGGGAGACTAGGAGTCCTAATGCATTAGGGCTAACATAAATTTCGTGTTTAGTTAATTTGTATTAATTTCAATTTAATATTGAAGGAAACTTAAAGAGTAGAAGCCTGTTAAGTTGTCTGAGATTTGAAATGATAGGATATGTTTGAAATTAGTTATTTAACTAAGGTTATTTTAGTCAATCAAATTTTTTTCACTTTTGTTGACATTTTATAGTAATAATAAATAATATAGATTAGCAACTATTAATAAAGAGACAAGACATCAATTCTTTCCCCTTTTCCTTTATTAATTATTAGGGTCGTGTACACACGATACATATGTGCAAATAAAAAAAAAACTTCAATATTTAAATATATTCATATAGGTAATTTTCAGAGTTATGGATTGTTAGACACAATTAATCATGCAATTGAAAAAAAAAGTATTATAGATTTTTTTTTATGGACACTACAATCGTCCTCTATTCATATTAATTATGATCCATTAAATATATATTACCGATTTTGTATTTTAAAAAAAGTATTTAAAAGATTAAATTTGTTTATTAAGTGAGTTTTGAGCCGAAAGTCAATTAAATTGTTGATGTTGACAATTTAATTCATGTGAAAATTGTTAAAAATTACAAATTTCGTACTTAATTTATAAATAAGTCCGGACATGTACTTTTTAAGACATGAAATTCAACTCAGTTGAACTTTTTTGTTATGTAATCCAAACTAATTTTTCTTTTTTTTAAAAATGACAATATTATCCATTTTGTACGATCGAAGTTCGAACGAGAGTCATTATCTTTCCCGTAGGTAAATTCAACTCTTCTTCCATAGAAATTCACCACCACCAACTAGAAGATGACAGTGACCTCAAAATAGTGAACTCAAAAATATAATTTTTCTAATATCTACAATATATAATAAAATATATTAATTTTTTTTAATTCACTATCATGTCTATTCTTTTACTGCCGCTAAGGTCACTGTTTTATTTAGTTCATTTCGGTAGTGGTGATATTGGATTATTCAACCCGGTCCGCTACACTATGGGATCTAAATTTTCTTCTCCGCCATTACATTCTCATCTGCCATACAATAACAGGGTCTCAGCCCCTTCTCTTATCCAATCCACTTGTTGGCTAGTGCACTTGCACACAAATCTTCAAACAGAGTTAAGCATGAGCAGCTTAACGACGGCCTTCACTTCTCGAATCTCTTCAACATGTTCGACTCAATTCCCAGCTCGATACCCTTCTTGGCACTTTTCTAAAAGGCCAGACCTCTTTCGGCCCTCACCGAGCCGTACACCCCCTAGACGAAGAATCGTTTGCATGGCGGTTTGTATACAAATTTTTCATCAAATCTTTAAATGGGTCTTTGTTTGTTTTTCTAGTTATGGTTTTGATGAAATTGCAGGAGCCTTATTTGATTGCAAAGTTGGAATCTGCTGAGAAAACGTGGAAAGAATTGTCGGTATGCAGAATCTTTATTCTTCTTATTTTTTACCCCTTTTTCGTCTACTTAGAACACAGTAGCCTTCTTTGATGTTCTTATATTTTCCTTTCAAGGAGATGTTAAGTTATTTTCTGTTCTTGGTTTCCCTAAGAATTTGTTGTTGTGGAGTAATGTTGGAATTTAGGCCAATTCATTTTTTTTTTTTTTGGTGGGGGGGGTGGGTTGGTGGTGGTTAAAATTGATGAGCATGGCCTATATTTCTGCTTATAATCACTTGGTTCAGACAAGGGTTATTCCCAATGTAAGCCAACGCTTAAAGAGAAGTCTTCAAGACTGGGCCAATTGATGAAAATGTTGTATTTAAGCAGAGTAATTTAAAATAGTTAGAAATTTTAGTTGTGTGGCCTTATGAGAATGCTTGAAGAGTTTAACAAATATAATAGAGCATTGCGAAAAGAAAAACTTCAGAAAGTGGAGAAGACACCGACTATACTACAGTTGATCAAATTATTGTGTATTCATGTTCTTGATGAAATTTCTGAATAATGAAGAATTAAGATGGCGGCCATATATTGTCATTTAACATGCCTTATAAGCTTTCACAGGGCTTAGTAGACGCTTGCATCCAATTCAAAGCTAATTATTGCCCAAATCACACTTACTTTGACCCACAATTACCTATCTGTTTGCGCCTGTTGGAACTCCTCTAGAACCCTTCCAGCAATTCAGGAAGGTTCAAGTGAAGAGCATGTGCATACACCTTTGTATCATGCAGAATGTTTTAAGAATCCCTCAGCCAAACATTGCACAGGCATAAGTCTTCCACGCGGAGGGAGAGGGCTTCATGGTCGAGGCTGTTTACAATGAACATATGAGAAGCGTACACTTGGTATGCAGACAAATGTGTAGCTCCATACATGTATATCTGCATGTCTTAGGCTCTGACTAATAGATTTATATACACAAAAGTTCATATATCCACTATAAATGATGGTGCCATGGTGCCAATGTATTAATTGATTCGGTTATTATTGAAATATATGAAGTCTTACAATATCAGTTGTAGGTCAAGCTGGCTGATCCAGATGTGGTGTCAAATCATACTGAGTACCAAAAGTTGGCTCAATCTGTGGCAGAGCTTAATGAGGTACTGCAGTTCTCATCGTTCATCTTGCTCCTCCCTGCCGGTGAATGCGAAACATGCTGCAAATATTTTTCGGTCTTCACTAACATTTCCCCTTGATTATTTGAACTAGTAGGTGGTGGCAATATTCAGAAGATTCAAGGATTGTGAGAAACAGCTAGATGAATCAAAAGGTTTTTCTTTTTTGCTTTCATGCCTCTGTTAAATGATTCTGGTAAAAATCCAGAGTCCGTGTTAGCCGAAGCATCTTTACTAACCCATCATCGTCATTCCAGCTTTAGCAAAAGAGGAGGGAGTTGATGAAGATATGGCCGAGATGATAGCTTCTGAAATTGAATCTTTATCCAGTGAACTCAAAGGGCTTGAGGAGAAGCTCAAGGTTTCAATATTTTATTTATTTTTGTCTTGATGTTACAAGTCCAAACATTGAGTTTGTCTAATTCTCTTTGCTTTTCAATTTCATATGGATGTATTTCACCCTACACTTATAGGTATTGCTTCTTCCAAGTGATCCTCTTGATTCAAGAAATATAATGCTTGAAGGTACAAATTCTGTACTTTCTCTGTGAGATAGTAGTCCTTCATTGTATGTTTAATTCCCTCGTTCCAAAAATCTGGGGCAATAAATTGAATTCCTCAAGTTGTACTCTTTTAATTCAATGTAATAAAGGAAGGCAATAAAGCTGACATTTTAAGTTACTATGGCGAGTGAACATAAGGTAATTGAATGAGGAAGGTATATAAAGACACCACATACAAAAAGAAGGACTAAATGATCATCTTTGATTGGCATTGTCCCTTACGTATTAAAGAAAAAACCTTGAGGAATTTGTGAATCAATTCTATATAGTTGCTTTAATGCATCTGTTGCATTGCACTATTATCAATTATTCATGGATATGGAGTTTGGAATCAATGCGTCTTTTATTTTGAGATGCATCCTAGGTGAGTTTATAGAAAGTGATTGTAGTGTCAACTTGAGTTTTGTACCAACTGGTATGGAGCTAAGAAATTTTCTGTTGGGGAGAGGACGGTAAATACTGGATATTGCAAAGTTGGCAAAAAGTTTTATAGAACTTATCGATGTCTCGTGATATGTGGGAAACACTCTTCATTTGATTGGTAGATTATTCATACAATGACCAATTTGACTAAAGTACCATTATTTAGGATTAATAATGAAGCCTTATTGAAAAGATTTGGATGGGCCTTAGACTTAAAAAGGAAAATTTTGTATTCCCGTGCTTAGAAACTAATACATATATATGTGTGTGTGGGCCTGTCCTGTGTCCATGGATCAATTTCAACCGATCCAAATCTGGTTAAAAAGTTCCATTCCGATTATCCAGTGGATTTGATTTTCACAGTCCATTTTCGAATTTGTTAAGAATTGGATATTTGATCTAAAATTATGATTTGATCGGAATAAATCTATTAAGTTGTATTTTGGCAAGTTACATCTAATTTTCAATACATTTTCATCAAATAGTCACTTTATTGCATCTTATATTTATCTATGTTTACATGTATAAGTCGGATTAAATTTGCTAAATTTGGATATTGGTATATTTATATCCAAATCCGTAAATAGGATACAATGGATTCGACTTTGGATTTGGATTATTGTCAANCCAGATGTGGTGTCAAATCATACTGAGTACCAAAAGTTGGCTCAATCTGTGGCAGAGCTTAATGAGGTACTGCAGTTCTCATCGTTCATCTTGCTCCTCCCTGCCGGTGAATGCGAAACATGCTGCAAATATTTTTCGGTCTTCACTAACATTTCCCCTTGATTATTTGAACTAGTAGGTGGTGGCAATATTCAGAAGATTCAAGGATTGTGAGAAACAGCTAGATGAATCAAAAGGTTTTTCTTTTTTGCTTTCATGCCTCTGTTAAATGATTCTGGTAAAAATCCAGAGTCCGTGTTAGCCGAAGCATCTTTACTAACCCATCATCGTCATTCCAGCTTTAGCAAAAGAGGAGGGAGTTGATGAAGATATGGCCGAGATGATAGCTTCTGAAATTGAATCTTTATCCAGTGAACTCAAAGGGCTTGAGGAGAAGCTCAAGGTTTCAATATTTTATTTATTTTTGTCTTGATGTTACAAGTCCAAACATTGAGTTTGTCTAATTCTCTTTGCTTTTCAATTTCATATGGATGTATTTCACCCTACACTTATAGGTATTGCTTCTTCCAAGTGATCCTCTTGATTCAAGAAATATAATGCTTGAAGGTACAAATTCTGTACTTTCTCTGTGAGATAGTAGTCCTTCATTGTATGTTTAATTCCCTCGTTCCAAAAATCTGGGGCAATAAATTGAATTCCTCAAGTTGTACTCTTTTAATTCAATGTAATAAAGGAAGGCAATAAAGCTGACATTTTAAGTTACTATGGCGAGTGAACATAAGGTAATTGAATGAGGAAGGTATATAAAGACACCACATACAAAAAGAAGGACTAAATGATCATCTTTGATTGGCATTGTCCCTTACGTATTAAAGAAAAAACCTTGAGGAATTTGTGAATCAATTCTATATAGTTGCTTTAATGCATCTGTTGCATTGCACTATTATCAATTATTCATGGATATGGAGTTTGGAATCAATGCGTCTTTTATTTTGAGATGCATCCTAGGTGAGTTTATAGAAAGTGATTGTAGTGTCAACTTGAGTTTTGTACCAACTGGTATGGAGCTAAGAAATTTTCTGTTGGGGAGAGGACGGTAAATACTGGATATTGCAAAGTTGGCAAAAAGTTTTATAGAACTTATCGATGTCTCGTGATATGTGGGAAACACTCTTCATTTGATTGGTAGATTATTCATACAATGACCAATTTGACTAAAGTACCATTATTTAGGATTAATAATGAAGCCTTATTGAAAAGATTTGGATGGGACTTAGACTTAAAAAGGAAAATTTTGTATTCCTGTGCTTAGAAACTAATACATATATATGTGTGTGTGGGCCTGTCCAGTGTCCATGGATCAATTTCAACCGATCCAAATCTGGTTAAAAAGTTCCATTCCGATTATCCAGTGGATTTGATTTTCACAGTCAATTTTCGAATTTGTTAAGAATTGGATATTTGATCTAAAAATATGATTTGATCGGAATAAATCTATTAAGTTGTATTTTGGCAAGTTACATCTAATTTTCAATACATTTTCATCAAATAGTCACTTTATTGCATCTTATATTTATCTATGTTTACATGTATAAGTCGGATTAGATTTGCTAAATTTGGATATTGGTATATTTATATCCAAAACCGTAAATAGGATATAATGGATTCGACTATACATATCAACTAAATGGATTCGATCCATTGACTGGCCAAAAAGTAGGGCTTATATACGAAATTATACATTCAGCTAAGGAATACATTGGAAATTTTGGGGGGCTCGGAGGCATCATGGCCTTTGTATTCATCCTTGGTTGATAAAGGGTTTTAGCTTCATGGTGCACCTATCAAATGACTGAAATCTTAAATGAGATGTTTATAAGCATCAGTTTCACACGTCAAGCATCTAACTGTATGATAAGTCGTAAAAGCTGATAAACATTTTGTTCTTTCTCTTTTTGATTTATTTGAAATTTTGCGGTTCTACCACAACTTGGGCTGCACATGAGTTATTGACTACTTGCAGTGAGGGCCGGTACTGGCGGCGATGAGGCTGGACTATGGGCGGGTGATCTTGTAGGTACATATTTGTTTTGGTCCTTTCAAATTTATAGATTTGATGTTATCAAGGAAATGGTATATGAAAGTTCATGATGTCTGCTAGTAAATAGTTATATATGTCAATTTAGAAGAGAGATTCTCTGTTGAATTTTATGATGCACATGCTGGCTTTGACACTAGTACAGACGAGAAGAAAACATTAGATTTGAAATTAAAGTTTATAGAAGTCAGTATGATGTAACAAATCTTCCAAAATAATATTGATGGTCCAATTTTTTAAATATTGCGATCAAGAAATCCTTACAGTTCGGTTTTGTATTTTTTCTAAATATGGCAACAACTTTGTATGTAGTCTTCTTCCAGTTTTTTATGAACAATGAATCGGTGCAAGGTGGCACTTCGTTGAGTTCTGATGACGCCTTGATTTGTAATTTTAGGAGGTTAATTATTGATTTTGCTGATGACCTTGCTAATGAAATTACAGAAATTTCTGTGTAGATTGGAACAATTTCACTCTCCTAAATCCCTATCTCCATTAATGTCCCCTGAACAAAGAATCTACACAAAGACCATAAAGATGTTTCTAAACACATCCAAGACATCTTCAATATCACTTGTGACATCTCTTTTTCCATGCTAACTTTTGATGATTCTTTAGGTGCGGATGTATCAGAGATACAGTGAACGAAATTCATGGAAGTATGCCCCAGTTTCAAGCTCTGAGGTACACCACACTGTAATCACGTACTATAAATTAACCTCAGAATTTTCTGATACTGAATTGTTATTTGTCTCTCTTTCTCAAAGGCTGAAAAAGGAGGATTCAAGACATATGTGATGGAAATAAAAGGAAATCGTGTATATAGCAAATTAAAATTTGAGTCGGGTGTCCACCGGGTTCAACGTGTTCCTCAGACAGAAGCGCAGGGCCGTGTGCACACATCAACTGCTACTGTGGCAATCATGCCGGAGGTATAGTTTGTTTCTCATTTGACATACACACACACCATATTTGGTGCTGAATTTTTCCAAGGTCACTTCTCTAAACTATTAGCAGCGCTAAGAAAGTTATCCCTTTCTATGACATCCAAATCATCTTGAGACCATGAGGGTTTTGACTAGTGTGCATGTACCAGACACTATCACGTATTCATGTTCCTAAAATTATGTAAGAAAAATTATTGGGATTGAATCTTTTAGGAAATTTGCCTGTATCTCTGATTTTCTTGGTTTGGCCTAGTTAGTGCTCCGCAACAATTCGTGATTCACTGCTTCGCAATGGATGCCATCTGATAATTTGTTCTGAGAGGGCTATAAATTAATAAATAAAGAAACAAATGAATTGTCCTGAAGNCTATGACATCCAAATCATCTTGAGACCATGAGGGTTTTGACTAGTGTGCATGTACTAGACACTATCACGTATTCATGTTCCTAAAATTATGTAAGAAAAATTATTTGGATTGAATCTTTTAGGAAATTTGCCTGTATCTCTGATTTTCTTGGTTTGGCCTAGTTAGTGCTCTGCAACAATTCGTGATTCACTGCTTCGCAATGGATGCCATCTGATAAATTGTTCTGAGAGGGCTATAAATTAATAAATAAAGAAACAAATGAATTGTCCTGAAGAGTTTGTTTATCTGTGTAACATGACCCAATTATAGAAATTTTTTGGTTCAGCTCTTTCACTCCATCATATTGGGTTCGCTGTGTTTGTGCCACTTGATTTCAGGCTGATGAAGTTGAGGTTGAAATTGATCCAAAAGATATTGAACTCACGACAGCAAGGTCTGGAGGTGCTGGAGGTATAGATCAGCAAACGCTGTGATAATATGTTTAGCTAGTGGATTGGTTTCTTGTATTTGGAATGGCATGCTTGATAACATCCTATTCCCTGTACCTGTCTATTTTGTGCTTTCTTTGCCAACAAATTCCATTCGTTTATGTCCTATCTTATGCCTGGAGTTATTATGCAGGGCAGAATGTCAACAAGGTGGAGACTGCTGCTGATCTTATTCATAAACCAACTGGGATACGAATCTTTTGCACTGAAGAAAGGACTCAACTTCAAAACAAGAATCGCGCTCTTCAATTATTGCGTGCAAAATTGTGAGGGACATTTTTAGTATAATGCTATCAGCTTTGACTTGCAGTTATTCAGAAAGTTACTCATTTAGACGTAAAGTTAATGTGCAGAGTCCCTCATTAAAACTGGTGTATCTGTAATAATAATTTAGTCATCCATTCCATATGGCATTGTCTTAGGACTTGCATCCTCTAGTGGACTTATAGGTATTTGTTATCCCAAGAGAAAGTAAGCTTATTGGCCACCTGTATTTAACAGTTATCCAACCCAATATTACAATAATGATCATGTTGGCTATGTTGGGAACATAACAGCTTTTCTGGATATTTGGCTGCAAAGAAATTGATTTAACATCTATCAAATTATTAACAAGTTTACATTACTTTTATGCCATGGATTTGTTTCAAGAGAAAACTTCACAGTTATGGGGCCAATGGGGACTGTAAGAATTCGGTCCTTGGAAATGTCATTGTTTCTTCGAGTGGGGAAGTTTATTCTTATTGAATTTTTTGTTACCTTGGTTCTTATTTAGTATCCGTCTCATTTATTATTTATTTATTAATCGGTTTTGATATATAGTTTTTTCCTCACCATTTTCGGATTTAATTGCGCTGATCCATAACCTTGTTTTAGGTATGAAATCAAACTGAGGGAACAGCAAGAGTTGATCAGGAATCAGAGAAAATCGCAGGTTCAAAATCTTTTCTCTCAGGGTACCTAGATTAACATGAAGCAAAGGGGACTTCCTTGACATTTGACCTTGTTCGTAACCTTTCTTTTCTTTTTCTTTTTTTTCTTTTTCTTTCTTAAAGGTATTATGAACCCTTGACCCATATGATGAGTTTAAGTACCCCTGACATTCCCCAGCCAGTGCTTCTTAGTGCTCACTCCATGTCATTAGAGCAAAAAATCATAGAGTGCATATGACCTGAGTTTGCACTTTGTATCCTCAAAATATGCTTGGGATATATATACTCATTCGAGACAGATTGTCATAGGTTTTTATTACTATTTGCATGCTCAACCAGATAGATACTTCACTCTCTTTTCAGATAAATAATGCAAATACTTGCACTTTGATGACAACAATTTTCATCTTTTTCAAGTGCTGAAAATGAGCTTCGATTACTTCATTTTGGGTGACAGGCTGACAGCCTCTTAGAAGTATGGTTTCAGTAGATGGTTCATGTAAATTCTGCAGTCCACGGAGCAATACATTTTCTCGAAACAGATGGAACCTAAATGTTCTGATGTTCTGTTATAAGGCATTTGACAATGGTGTGTATCTCATTTTATTTCTAAATTTTTCAGGTTGGTACAGGAGCTCGTGCAGAAAAGATCCGGACCTACAATTACAAGGTACCCACGATCCGTATAAAGGCTCAAAGATTCTCTTTTTTGAAATGTACATTTAAAAGTTTTCCATCGAGGATGGCGTGCACCAATCTTGTCGTATGACTATGTTATTGGGAGCCTTTTGTGATGTTGACCAGAATCCAGCCTTTGTAAGTTGGGAATTTCTCTAGTTAGCTTCTCATTAATGGTTTGAGAACTGACAATCCAATTTCGCTTTCTGAAACTTCAAAGTTCCGGCAGCAGGTAACAAAGTTTATTGTTTTTCTGCCTCAGGACAATAGGGTTTCTGACCACAGGCTGAAAATGAACTTTGAGCTAACATCATTTCTTGATGGTGATATTGAGACAGCTGTTCAGGTACATCTGCTTCAAAATCTCGCCAGGATGCCCATCCTGTCCGTCCCCAAACAACACTCGTTAATAAATGAAAAAGAGAAAAAGAAAAATCATCTTGATTATTTCATCAGCTAATTTCTATATTCTTTATTATGTGGTGAAACTTCCCAGAAATAATTTTCATAATACCAATATTGCTTGTGTTGTTAAGGTTAAGCCCACTTACATCTATTCTTGCAGTCTTGTGCTACTATGGAACAGAAAGAATTGTTAGAAGAACTTGCAGAATCTGTGTCAATGACTGCTAGCTGATTTTACATCACTCTTGGATAGTTCCAGGATCTAGATTGGGAGTGGGATGGCTCTCTTGATATGCAACTTCACAAAAAAACACAGATGCTGATGAGGTTTGCTGTCAATTTTCTTCTTCGGGTATATTGGGGTGACATCCTCAGCTTATCCCCGCCCCCGCGGTTTTATGACCGTGTAACATATTACATATGCTTAGAATAGGTCTAGTGAGATTGTCATTATTAAGTATGATTGCAATGTAATCGTGCTATAATAATAGCTTTTTGCAATGAATGAGCCGGGCCTGTCTACATTTTAGCTGTAATGAATGTCGGTAACAGCCACTTGGGAGATGGAACCCAACCAGGAGATGACACTATTCAATTATCACCCTCATTTCTTTCTATTCTTTCTCCGACTATCTTTAATTTTTTTGTTTTTTTTCGTTTAACGGTTAGAGGTGTACGGATTAATTTACGTGTATTTTGACTAATATTTTTTCTGATCCGATCAAAGACAGATTATTCACGTCGAGATTAGGGCATTCATGAGAGATAAATTTTGTATGGTCTAACCCTAAGTGATTGCTAATATTTGGATTTAAGATGCTTGAATTTATATTTTATTCTCGTTGTCATTTTTGGTTAGTAACAACTATTTTTTAAAGTATATTTGTGAACTCTTGTTTTCAACCAATTAGAGCATAACATGTGTATAACTTTTTATAATTTATTATTTAAGTTATAGCGAGAATTTATTTTCGAATATGATATTACAAAAATAAATAAAAAAGAAAAATTTGTGGCCATTACACAATTTTAATAAAATCAGAGAACTCATGGGCCGAAGTAGAAAAATAATTTATAGCCATTAGCAATTTACGTGTTTTGCACATAAATATTTTTTTTTTAATTAATAAATAAATATTTAATATATATATATTTGAATTAAATATCATTTCAAATTTACCAAACTCATTTTTCATCGCTCATGTTCCATTATAGAATTTTTGAAAACTATATATGTTTTCAAGATTTGTTATTTTAACTTTGAGAAAAATTATAAAAAAGAAAATAAATAATTTAAGTTTTATTTTTTATATAATTTTGTAATTAAAAGTGATTTTTTAGTGATGTTTGAAAATTAAATTTTTTAAAATTAATTTGATTAAGATTCTACTTATAAATTATTGAATAAAATAGAAAAAATTATTAATATATCAATCATATTGGAACCTTACTGCATTTATGATTAGTTAGATCAATTGAAATAACACTATAATATTATAAAGCACATTAAAATTTTAAAAAAAAAATTAAGTTTTGACTTAAAAGCTTAACAGCAAACCTCATCAGAGTTAAAAAAAAAAGTCTTTGAAAATTATTTGGGGATGTTTTTTAAAAACCTGAAAAAATCAATTTCAAGTGTGGCTTTCTAATTTTTTTGGTTTTTTTGTGTTAAAATAAGAAAATAATTACATGTATGTAAAGATTATATACAATAAATATATATGTATAAATTATGCATAATAGTTTTCAAAATATAAAATTTAATTATTTTTATGTTACTAATAATATTTTATGAATATAATAAACTAAAAAATTATGTGGGACTCACAACATAATAAATTCATAAAATCAATTTCTTGAATCAGCCAAAATAAGTATTTTTGGGTTTAAAAAGGTTGCTATATACTCCAAGATGAATTGTCCATACGTAAAATCATAATTATTGATCAATTTGCTTTATAAAAGAAAGATATCAATGAACTTCTATGAAATGATTTCATAAGATTCAATCAATTGTCTTGATCCTGGAATATCATTAAAAAATAGAAATCCGTGTTATCAAAGAATTTCGTGCGATTATTTCTAGTATAGAATGAGTCAATCATCCACTTTAACATCTTATCGAACAAAAATGGTGGTTTCTCGTAAAAAAATCAAAGACCTAACTTATTTTACTATAAACCTTTTAAAATTTTCATATTTAAACTAATTCTAAACAGAATCATTGAAAGAATAACCACCGTATATTAACATGTTGCATCCGAAAAGCACATTGGAAGTGCTTAAGAGCGGGGAGGTGTTCGCTGCTCTGTGAAGCCAGCCTGCAACAGTACCCTCCACCTTCAGGACCCACCAGCCCCCGAGCTTTAGCCCAAGACCCCTAAATCAGCTCCCACCTCCGACAGGGTGTGCCAGTGATTTAATCCCATCAAGCCCAACCTTCTGAGCCACCTCTATGTCCAACCACCTTAAAACTCTCGCTTAAGTTACAGGCCCGCTTTACCAGGCCCAGCTGATCAGTGTGGGAGAAGTTGTTCTATACAAAGGAAGAAGCTAGGTGTTCTTTAGCCGATGTGGGTTTGGGGACCATCTCTCTCTCTCTCTCTCTCTCTGAGTTTGAGGGAGTATAGAGCATCCAATGCAGAAGCTACCAACAGCTATCTTAAAAAGTTTTTATATACCTGGCGATAATCATTTTTTTCTCTTTGTATGTGTGGTGTATTTAAGTAATTGTCATGTGCAAGTATGATATCTTGATTTCTGCCTCTTATGGATTTTTATTTTATTTTATTTTTTGTTCTTCTTGTCTCAACTATTGTTAAGGATGTGTGATTTTAGGGAATTGATGGTTTTTTAGTGAATCCGTCTATGGAATTGCTATTAAGTAATCGTAAACGAAGACAACATTGATGCAAGCATGTTGGTAAAGCTACTAGGAAGTTGTCCAACTTTCATGCTCTTTGGATGCAATGTAAGTTTCCATTTATTTTTATTTTTATTTTTTTGTCCTTTTTTCTTTTCATTACTGACTTCTAGGCAAGTTTAAAAAGCTTGATAACTAATTTAGTTTTGCAATACGATTAGTTTTGCCATATTAGTATTGTGGGAAGTTTAACATAAATCAAGTTTTATTAATATGAGGTCTAAATTAAATAAGGCTAGTATTGTCTTTATATATTATTTTAGGGTTAAGGTTGTCAATCACATATTGTCTGCTATATTTTTCCAATCTTATATCTGAATAAAAAATGTGACACAAAAAAAGTGGTTGTTGGGTTGGGGCAACTCATTGGGCCATAATGGACCTGTGAGAAACAGGCTCGTTATCCTTCCACTGGTAGGAGGGGGAGGTGTTCGCTGTTCTGTGAAACCAGCCTGACGCAGTGCCCTCCACTTCAGGACCCACGAGCCCCAAGCTTTAGCTCAAGACCCCTGAGTCGGCTCCTATCTTGGATAGGGCGTGCCAGCGATTAATCCCATCAAGCCCAACCTTCTGGGCTATCTCAATCTCCAACCACCTCAAAGCCCTCACTTGAGTTACAGGCCTGCGTTACCAGGCCCAGCTGGCAAGTGTAGAAGAAGTTGTTCTATACAAAGGAAGAAGCTAGGTGTTCTTTAGCCGATGTGGGTTTGGGGGAGCATATCTCTCTTTCTCTCTCTGAGTTTGAGGGAGTATAGAGCATCCAATGCAGAAGCTACCAACAGCTATCTGAAAAGTTTTTGATGTACCTCGTGATAATCATTTTTTTCTTCAAATAATTCGTCGGTGTCTAGTTAAGTTTATGAAAATGGGCGAAAGCTTGAACAAAGACAAATCAAACTAAACCAAAAATCAAAAAAAAAAATACTCAGACTAATACTAATATATGAAATGGGAAGGGAATAAAAAACTCACATAGGAATGTAATGAGAGAAGGGCTGTTTGTTTTAGGTTTTTTTTTCAATTATTTAAACTCCTTATTTCCTTTTAAAAGGGCAATCATAGAAATAAATTTACAGCATAGATTTTATTGTATTACTCTTTTGTTTTTGATTTCCAACAAACTAGTTTTTCTTTGTTGTATTTTTTTTTTGCTAGATTCTAAACTTGCGTGAACTGCTTCTTCAATCTCGAACACTGGCCATTACAATCAAAGCGGATTTAGAAAATGACCTTTGAAGAACAAGGTTGATTAGCCCTAAAAAAATATGAGAAGTATTGAACTTGAGATCTTAGGTTCAACCACCGAAATCACCCTTATAGTTTGTCAAGTTGTACATTTATTAGATTTTATCAAGGACTTTGAACAATTCAATATTTATTCAATCCCATCAAATAATCAGTCAATTTTTGTTAAATAGAATAACTTTTCACCATTTGAGTAAAATTGTGGATCAAACATGAACCTTAAACGTTACTTGGGCCTATATCTTGGACCAATACTTAATGACTGTGACCCAATAAACAACAAAAAAAAACGGAGAAACACAGGAGATGTTACAAGTTGGGCTGTAAAAAGCCCAATCTTTCCAAGCCTGACATTACCACATAACGGTTGCTAACGTTATAATAGTTCTTCAGACGGTTAAATTATACCGAAGGCCAGCTTTTTAAAGATCGTCTTGCTTTGCGCAATTCACAGTGTCTGCCAGTCCAAGCCTCGCAGACCGGTAGTCTCTCTCTCTCTCTCTCTCCACAGACAGCCACACACACACATGTAGGGTTTCGATTGAGACGCTTATACAACCTAGGGTTTCGATTGAGGTACAAAATTTGGTGTGATGGTGGAGAGAAGGAGGCCTTTGGTGCTTTCTTCCACCAAAGCTCTCGTTAATTCGGTGCTCAGTTCATCCAGAACCAAGGGAGGAGATGGAATTGAAAGAAGTGACCAGCTATCTGCCGATTTCACATCGCAGACGATACAGTTACAGGCCGGGGTTCTTCTGTTATCGAAGGAACGAACGGAGAATTCGCATCGTTCGGATGTAGCTTCTCTCGACGACTCTGCTTTGGTTGGGCTATCAACGTCTGTTCTCAAAAGATTGTCCATAACTTCAGGCTCATTGGTACACTATCTTTCCGTTCATTGGATTTTGAATTTCTGTATTACCGACCACTGACTTGTCCTGCCTATATTTCCTCTACAACCTAAACATATAATTTCGTATTATGGAAAACATGGTGCCTATTGTAGGTTTTCTTTTACTTCACGATTCAATTGATTCTTCCGCTCCACTCCTTGTGACTTGAGAATAATAAAGAGAGTACCTTTCTCTATTTATTTGTTGGCTGATGCTTCACTAGTTATGACTTCAGAATAATCAAGATATTGTCTTTCTTTGTTTATTTGGGGATAAATAATGAGAATTTGATAACTAAAAAATTTGTAAAGAGGTCAGGACCAATGTGGCTAAATTGTATCAGTCTTTATTTCTTTATTTGTACAAGATTTATTGGAAAATAAAACAGGGAAACCAAGAAATTGTGCAAAGCGGGAATAATAAAGCAATCTTATTATTTAGGCTTGTTATGGCTCTCTCTGTCTGGGTACTGGGCAATCATACGATGGTCCTACTGGATCCCTTCTGGGCCCGGTTGTTTGTTGGATGCTCTCTTCTCTCTAGAATTCCCATTCCTCTTCTTTCCATTGTGATGGAGAATTAATTATCTTCATTCTGTAACATAACCCCTTTCTTCATGGTCCAACAAGAAAGGCTCTGAGTGTGGAGTTCCGTCACAAAACTGCAAATGGCATGCAAATAAGCTTCATAAAACTTACAAGCAATTTTATTTGAACATTGTGTTTTCATTGATGGTAGGTTTTGTAAGAAGTTTTCTGATAAGGTGAAAACTATATGTTTTATACACACAAATTACTTCGTAAATGCAAACAACTTATTGTCTCCATGAAAACCTCTATTTATTTAGTTTCCTTGCCATTATTTGGATATTTCTTCAACTGGGACTAAGGTATTTATCAACAAGAATGTGCACATAATTTTCTGCTTTTTTTTTTAATTTTTTAGTGTGGAATTTTGGTGTTCTTGTCCTAGAAGAAACTTATTCAGTTAACTAACTGATGGTGTTCCTTATTTTGCCTTCTTTTAATCATGTAGATACTTGTCAAGAACGTTGAGACCAATGTACAGAGAATTGGCCAAGCAATTGTTCTAGATCCTCCCAACATCCATGAAGACACGCCCAACAACGGATTGCACTTTTCACAATTGTCAGAGACCATGCTTGTTTTTCCTTCATATAGTTTCCCTCAAACTAGCTATGCGCCGTTGGATGTGGAAGCTGCCTATCTGTCTCCACTCTTGGTATTTAACCTTAACTTGCATGTGTCATGTTTGAAATCTCTCGTTCACCAAGGGAAAGGGACACTGGCAACTTTGTTTGAAGGTCAAGAGGATTATGAAACAAATGGGAAAGGGGGAAAAGCCTCTGTCGTCAGTTTAGCCCTTGAACCGTGGGCTCAACTGCCAAGATATGCCTCACACTTGAGGGTTTCATTTGTGAAGATACCAGATTGTGGTTTCCTTGAATCTCTCAAAGGGAGTTCATCAATTGAAGCTGAAGATCGTCAAGAAATGATTGATTTGGCATTAAACAATTACTTTGCAATAGATAGATATCTTGCTAGAGGTGATCTTTTCAATATATGCATCAATTGGAATTGCAAATCAGCTATATGCATTCCTTGCAACCAAAAGATGCAAAATGGAAGTAATAACGTCATCTATTTCAAGGTGAATCCTGTTTTATTTCATTGTTGCCTGAGATGCTCAAGGATTGCCACAACACAACATGCTCTCATTAGTAAGTAGTTCATGTCATCAGGTTGTTGCTATGGAACCTTCAGAGCAACCTGTTCTCAAAGTCAATCGCACTCAAACCGCTCTCGTGCTTGGAGGGAGTGTTCCTTCTGCTGTTCCCCCCGATCTTTTAATTCCTGGACCAAAAGGACTTGCGCCTTTACAAGGGAACACAGTCAAGATTTTGGCTTCCATACTTACACCACCTCTATGTCCATCAGCACTTTCGTCAAGATTCAGAGTTTCTGTTCTGCTGTATGGTTCTGCTGGTGCGTTTTGTGCTTCATAATTGTTGCTTAGATTTGCTGATAATATTTTCTGAAGGGGATATAATGTGATAGTGGGAGCAGTTACTAGTTTCTGTTGGCATGGTATAGTTAGAAGACTTCAGTAAAAAGCAATGGAATGGCCTAGGGGACTGTGATAAATTGAAAGCAATATTTAGGTCTGCTGTGGTTTGATAACTGAATACTAGATTCCTGTTGGATCTTGAATGATTGCAGCTTGAGAAACATGCTTTAATGGGAAGGACTGCTGTTAGTGCTTCTGTCTGATTTCAAAACCACCTTGTCTGATTCCTGTATGTGTGTGGGCACACGCACATGTATGACTGCTTGTGTTTATTTGTTGGTTAATGCTGATCCAGATGTTCTTGCAGGCTGTGGGAAGAGGACTGTGGTTAAACATGTCGCTAAACGATTGGGCCTGCATGTGGTCGAATATAGTTGCCACAATCTGATGCCATCCTCTGAAAAAAAGGCATCTGTTGCACTGGCCCAAGCTTTCAGTGCAGCTCACAGGTATTTTGTACTATTGAGCTTTTGTGTATGGTGCAATAGTGCTCATAATTTTGGCTCTATTTGCAAATATTTAGTTTTGCTCCATAAAGTTTTGTTTGTTTTATTTGGTGGTTTCACTTCTTGGTACTCACGGATTAAAATTGGAACAGATACTCGCCAACAATCCTTCTTCTCCGCCATTTTGATGTTTTCCGTAATCTAGCCTCCCACGAGGGATCACCACATGATCAAGTTGGCGTGAACTCAGAAATAGCATCTATCATCAGAGAATTTACCGAGCCAGTTATTGAAGATGAAGACAATTTTTGTGAAGAAAAATTAGATGATGATACTGTAAGATGCAATTTCTTGGTGCTATTTCAGTTCACTAAAAATGTTTAATATAACCTGGAAATCTTTATTTTCTTATGAGCACGTGTTTCTTATATTTGATTTGAGCCGCTCTTGTCTAAACCTATTTAATAAAAATATTATATATATTTCTTTTGTTCTGCTTTGTTCCCATAAATCCTTGTACACATCTCATATTGAGAATTAAAACATGATCAAATAAAGGAGGGAAGGACAAAGGGATGTCCTCCTGGAGATTACTGGAAAAGCGAGAACTAAACATGTATAGACTAAACATGTCTTTGGGATGAGGTGTAATTATGTTTTCTTGCTAGAGATTTTCAGAAAAAGTTTCATCAGGGTGATCATGGTTGCATTATGCAGGAAGTAAAGCATGCTGAAAGAATATGCGGTCATCCAGTGCTGTTAGTTGCAGCTGCTGACAGTTCTGAAGGGCTGCCTCCGACTATTAGGCGTTGTTTCAGCCATGAAGTTAGCATGGGACCTTTGACTGAAGAACAAAGGATTAAAATGCTTTCCCAGTCTCTTCAACGTGTTTCTGACATACTTCCAGATGTACGTGAATTTGTGTTCTTTCCCTTTTGTTATATAATATTTCATGTATGACACCTCTATATGTTGGGTTTAAAGATAGTTATCCCGGGACAGGTAGTTGACATGTCCAAACATGATCCATGGCTGACCTAGCAGTCATTGGGGTTCTGGTCAGTGAGTTTATACCAGTAGCTAAACATTAAATTTGTTTAGGATTGTAGTATTATATGCCTACACATTGCTGATGAAAAAACAGGATTATATTCTGTGCCACATAGTTTGTGTAGCATTTTCAGGTTTTGGTCTGTAATTATTTTGTGATATATCTGGTGATATTATCTGGGTAGTATGTTTACTTCAAAATGCCCATAATTCCATTCTGATGTATAAATATCTCCTGAAGTCAATTTTTGGTTGAATTTTTTCGCTAAGGATTAAGATCCTTCATCGTGGAGCCATTTACCATTCTCTGACTTTTCAGTGTTGGGTTCTACACTAAATTACCTTGCAACCCTTCACCATTGCAAAAGTTAAAGTTGGTTGTAGCTTGTGTTCCTTGGATCAAGATTATTGACTTTGATGGATCAGATTGTTGTTTGTTGCAGACATCTACAGAGGATCTTGTAAAAGAGTTAGTTGGACAGACATCTGGTTTCATGCCTAGGGATATGCGTGCTTTAATTGCTGATGCTGGTACAAATTTAATTCCAAGGCGAAATATTCTGCCTGGCAATGTTGAGTCTGGAAATTTTGATGGCAAGAGAACTCTTGGGTCCAAACCAGCGAAGGACAATAAATCAATTAGTGATGCACCTCAGGTCCTTGGAAAGGAAGACTTGGTCAAAGCATTGGAGCGATCCAAGAAAAGGAATGCATCAGCGCTGGGTACTCCAAAGGTGAATTGAATTCGCAAAACCATCTCCAATAACTTAATGCTACGATGTTATTTCATCCCTGTTGAAGAATGTCAAGAACTTTTTCTTCTGTCATTTTCTTCTTTTTAACTGAATTGCATTGTGCGGGTTGTTTTCCTTTCTGGAGAAACTATATAGCTTCTTGCTGAACAAGCTAATGATTCTGGATTATTCTTCTGTAGGTTCCTAACGTGAAATGGAAGGATGTTGGTGGACTTGAGGATGTCAAGAAATCAATTCTAGATACCGTTCAGGTGAGACTCTTCAATTACTATATTGCATCATTATAGAGGTTATTTTATGTGCATCAATTTCAGAACTTCAGAGTCATATCCAGATTCTGTTAGGTTGAAGGGTAAAGGGTTTCTCTCTCAGATGACTAATGTCTCACACATTTTTACCTTTTGGTTTGTTTCATTGAACAATTTACTTTGGAGGCTGTTGACAAACAGATGTCTTATAGATATTATCTGGAATGACATATCTTCCTATTCCACTCCATGCCAAGATTAAGACGATTTAGATCATATTCGTCATAGTTCACAGGGTGTGTTTTATTCCCTCAGGCGTGTTTTATTATGTCATGCTCATGTACTGTCCACTCTTCCAGATGAATGGTTTCTCAAGTGCATGCTTAAAATAGTTTGCTTTCTTTTTTTTTTTTCCTCTTTGTAAGATATGTGGCTGATTCTTGAGAACGGTGTCTGCAGCTCCCTCTCCTTCACAAGGATTTGTTCTCATCCGGGTTGCGCAAGCGCTCTGGTGTTCTTCTTTATGGTCCGCCTGGAACAGGGAAAGTAAATCCTTGATTCTTGACATGTCACTTTTTATTTAGGTTTTAAGAAAAATTCTAAAAAATAAACTTTACCGTTAATTCTGTTGCAAAACTCAGACATTGTTGGCAAAAGCTGTTGCTACAGAGTGCTCCCTAAATTTTCTCAGCGTGAAAGGGCCTGAACTGATCAACATGTACATAGGGGAGTCAGAGAAAAATGTTAGAGATATATTTCAGAAGGTAGAATATTCTTCTTCTTCTTTGAGGTAATTTGGCTTTGATCACCGATGCTACTTCATATTATTTTTAAATCACATCCCATATTATCTGCAGGCAAGATCAGCACGTCCATGTGTTATCTTCTTCGATGAACTAGATTCTCTTGCTCCAGCCAGGGGTGCTTCTGGAGATTCAGGGGGTGTTATGGACCGGGTTGTTTCTCAGGTAACACAAGTGGGACTCTAATTATGTCTAATTCTTTCCCTCACTCAATATGGTTGCTTGATGCTAAAATTTCCCTTTTTTCTAGATGCTTGCAGAGATTGATGGCCTAAATGACTCTACTCAGGTTAGCAATATTACTGAAGAACGGTTAGCTCCATTTTTCTTTTTCCAGTTGTTTCCCCTCCTGCTGCTTCTAAGTCTCAGGAACTTTGGTCCCCCCTTCCTGTCCCTGCGGCCTCTATAGGACTTATTTATAATAGGAGCCAGCAACAGACCAGATCTTATTGACCCAGCTCTTCTAAGGCCTGGCCGGTTTGATAAGCTCCTCTACGTTGGAGTTAATTCTGATCCATCTTACAGGGAGAGGTTAGTTTTCTTCTTGCTTTAAGTTGCAAGATACTTGTTATAATTCTGTATCTTTGTACTAGTACATGATTATATCCTATACTGTGCAGAGTCCTTAAAGCACTGACCCGGAAGTTCAAAATGCACAAAGATGTATCACTATTCGCAATAGCAAAGAAGTGCCCCTCAAATTTTACTGGTGCGGACATGTATGCCTTGTGTGCAGACGCTTGGTTTCATGCTGCCAAGCGCAAGGTGAGTCTAGGCAGCACCATATTGTCAACTTCAAACTTGATTCAGCTAGCTAATTTAAAGCAGTACATGTGTATGAGTGGCCAACGTAGTAGACTTTATAGGGTGCCTTGAACAATGTGACATCTCACACCTGGTAAAGCCTTAACACTTACCCCTCTTACTATGACTACATGATGTTCTCTTGAATTACAGCCACTACAGGCTATACGAGCAGTGACTTCAAATTTAGAGGTTAATTGTGGGCAACTTTATGTGAGGCAGAATTGGGTTTTTTTGTCTTGATAGTGGAAAAGTTGACAATAAGTCACCCTTACTGACACACTTCAAAATCATACATGAGATTTTCACCTCATATGGCTTCTTGTTCAATTCCCCCCTATCTTCTTCTTTTGTACTTTCCATAAGTAGAAACAGAACTTTTAGGATGTGTCTGCGTATCTCTTATTTCAACCACCTATAGGGTAAGGTCCTTTTTGCACTAGTATTGGTCCACTTGACTGACATATGCTATTCTACATGTGTTGTTTTGAAGAGCAGCTAAAACATATGTATTTATTGCTTTATAGGCTTTGGCTCCTCATTTGGATTCAACTTGCTTGGATGATGAAGCTGACTCTGTTACTGTTGAATATGATGATTTTGTTAAGGTATGACAGTCCTTTTTAGTGACTGATGGAGCTGTTGGAATTTGCATATTTAAGCTTTCGAATGGCTATTGTAATGTAAACTTTGTAGCTCATTCAGTTTTGATTCTAAACAGACTTATCTTATGCATAAGTGCAGTTATGCTACGGTTCATTTTTATAAAGACAAATTCCCATAAAAAAAATTTAGAAAGAATCCTACGATCATCTAATATCCTTTCACTTTAACCAATTTATATAATTTGTAACAGTACCTGTACACACATAAACCAGTCTTTCAATTTTGAGAGCGGGAAGAACATTTTTAAAGAATCCACCATATTTTTCTACTACATATCATGCCTGCATCCCTGCAACTATGTTGATTATGAGCATGGAACATTCTACCAAGCAAAGCATTGTGTTATGTTTTATTTGAGTTGTCCTTTCTACATTAATATAGTGACTAACACCTCTTCTAAATGATTGGCCTTTGTGATGTGTCACCATACCAGAAATACATTATAAAATGAAAAACCTTGCGAAAAAGAAGTTTGTTTTTTTTGTGCTACCTGCCTGCTGGTGTCTGATCTTATGTTCAAGCTTTGCAGGTCTTAGCAGAATTGTCTCCCTCACTTTCTATGGCAGAACTCAGGAAGTATGAGTTGCTCCGGGATCAGTTTGAAGGTGCTTCAAAATGACTGTACGAGGATGATATTCTGCACCAACGCTGGCGACCTCGCCACAACAATCAATAAGACTGATTCTTTAATAAAAAGATGAGGGGGGGTCCCTGTTGCATTACTCCATGTATACACATGCATGCATCCTAAGGCTTGTACACAGGCCAAGATAGTGATTGCGATGCCTTTGCCNCACAACAATCAATAAGACTGATTCTTTAATAAAAAGATGAGGGGGGGTCCCTGTTGTATTACTCCATGTATACACATGCATGCATCCTAAGGCTTGTACACAGGTCAAGATAGTGATTGCGATGCCTTTGTCACATACATAGAGAATGTGTGTATTGCCTTTGTTGCTCTGGTCAAATGGTTCGTGTTGATTCATGCCTTTATGCTACACAATCTCCCATGCTTACCTCAATTGTCTTTCCCACATTGTCTTCTCGCTGTCATTTGTTGGGCCAAAACCTTATTTTGGGTCAACTTTGAGTCAAAATTTAAGCGGGTTTCGCTTATTCTTCGGGGTTATTAAGCGTTGGAACGCAGTCTCCTCCACGTAAAATATTAGCACCGTATATTCACTTGATGAGTTTATGTATTCCTGGTTTGTTTAGGGAGATATCTTAAGTTCCCTCTTTGGTAGCACGGATGGAAAAGTAGAAAAAATAATTTTTTATTATCTATAATTTATCAATTACCATGAATACCCTTGTATTTGTTATAAATTATAGAGTCAAAAGGTGCAATGGGGATCTGTTTTGCTTGTCCTTTGAGCAAATAAAATAATGTGGACACTATTTGTATTTCTTCCCCCAAAAGTTGGACAAGCTGTTACTATAAATAGGGCACAAAAGTAAATTTAGCACTTGGAAGGATTCTTCTTCAGGTTTTCTTTTTGTTTCTGCTTGAATTTGGACGGATTAAAAATGGAAAACTTTCCTTCCTATTTTTCATCTGTATATTCCATCCATATTTTTCATCATACCAAACACACCATAAGTTCTTACCTAAATTTAAATTTTTTACCGTTAGCATTCAAATTTTGAGTTAATTCAAATATAAAATTTTGTGCCCATCCGAATTTAAATTTCATGTTTGTTCACAACTTTGGTGCCTTCTCCCTTGCATTTGAGATGCAAACATTCTGAGGTCTTGTTTGATTTACGTTTCAAAAATTGTTTTTTATTTTTGGAATCAATTTTTAGAAGAAACTTGTTCAGAATTTAAAAAACACTACTACTATCATACTTTCACGCCCACCACCATGCACCACGANTTCAAATATAAAATTTTGTGCCCATCCGAATTTAAATTTCATGTTTGTTCACAACTGGGTATCTTTGGTGCCTTCTCCGTTGCATTTGAGATGCAAACATTCTGAGGTCTTGTTTGATTTACGTTTCAAAAATTGTTTTTTATTTTCGGAATCAATTTTTAGAAGAAACCTGTTCAGAATTTAAAAAACACTACTACTATCATACTTTCACGCCCACCACCATGCACCACGACCCTTCCACCAACACCAACACCCTTCCACCAACACCACCACCCTTCCACCAATGCCACTACCACCGCCACACTCCCACTATCACCCTTCCACCACCACCACCGTCACCATAACACTGCACCATTACCACATCCACCACACTACCGCCACCATATTTTTATTTTCATTGTTTTCTAGGTTATTGTTCAAATAAGTTTTAATATTTTTTATTCCGTAGAATTATTTTTGAAATCATATAATCAAACAAGTTTTGTGACACTAAATTTTTTTTTAANTACCACATCCACCACACTACCGCCACCATATTTTTATTTTCATTGTTTTCTAGGTTATTGTTCAAATAAGTTTTAATATTT